TCAGCCGCCTCCGGGCTACCATTTCATTCTGGTAATAATCACGTTTATTTGCCAATAATATTCCATCTGTCCCACCTTCGCCTACCCGAATTACAGCCTCGAAGTAAGCAGAACTTTCTCGCACGTATAACTTTTTACATATCTCTGTCTCCTGCGTCTACATTATACATCACCAAAAAGGAGGGGAAAAAATGGAACTGTGAAACCGTAAGTCGAATCGGAAGTCACCTGTCGGCTTTCTTCCGCGTGGTTCAACGTCGAAATTTAACGCGGCCATTAAGCAGCCCGGCCACAGAATTCCGACGAACGGCGAACGCGAACGGCATTTTAATTTTCATGAAAAATGTAATTGCCGTGCGACTGGTGGTTCCCCAGGATCAGCCGAATTTACAGCCGGCCAAGTTGCTGGAAAATTGGCCAACGTCATATGCTGTTATTCGCACGCAGCGAAAAATATCTGTTGCGGCTCTCCCAATAAAAGCTCTTGCGATCGCGGCGGAAAAAGTGCTGAAAAAAAAAAAAAATGGGAGACGCGAATCGTTAACGTTGCAACGGCTGAAAATCCAGTAGCCCGTTTAATTGTCGCGAACGCGAAACACGCGCGCGTCGTGAATCATTGTTCGCAAACAACGAGCTCGAATCACGCGTCACACAGTTTATTACGCCTATGGTTCGAAAGACTGCAACAAGATCGTCCCGGGAAAAAAGGGTTGTGAAAGCGGAGAAACCGATATGCTAATAATCTCGTCGCGCATTTAAATTCTCACCCTCCGCAGTTATCGTAAACGGTAGACTTTCATTTCTCAATCCCCTCGGAACCATTTTCCAAAAACCAACTCTTCCGCGTACTGCCAGGACTACTTCTCTATAATTATCCGCGAAACAGCGTTGGAGAGAAGGGCGCGTAGCATAAAAATAGAGGTAAAGTATCCGACTCGATATCACGCACGCAATTTTCCATCGGCCGAGGGGTAGAAAGAGAGATACATTTTCAAATCAGCCGAGGAGTAAAAGCGCTCCCCCATTTCCGCTTCTCGTCGAAACGCCTTCAATAACAAACCAGGGAAAAACGACTGCTAGAAACGAGCTCTCCCCGCCTGCCCTCGCCTTTCGCCCCTTTTTTTCCCGCTTCCATCCCCTTTTTTCTTCGTTCACGAGCGCCGCGTAATACCTGTTTCCAATCACGGAATTCAATACGAACCGCGTGCGAGCGCGCCCGCGCATCCGCTCGCGCATCTCATATGCAATACCGGATTAATTTACATTCTCGGGTGCCCCGGCACTCTCGTTGATCGACGAAAAAATAAACGAGGAAGCGAGCGAGGAATGAAAAAGCAATCTTCACGTGTGACAATGCGGCGAGAGTTGTGTGTCGGCTTTTCTGATTGCTCGTTGACTTGGAAAATCAACTGTACAAATTGCCATTCCCGGTCCGCGGGTACCGTACGGTTTCCGGCGCTGGACGTGCACCATTCGAAGGAGCAGAAACATTTTTGGTGAACGCGAACATGTATTACACACGGCGGATACGTGGCCTGCTGATTTTATCGGTATCGATTCTAACGGAACGTGCATTCGCAAGCGAGAAATTCTCCTCTTCGAACGTCCTGTCGTGAATCATCGTTCGATTATGGCAAGATTTATGACAGAATATAATGAACTTAATTTTGATTAGAATGTAGTTGAACGTCGGATCGCGCGGAAAAACAAACCGCGGAGGTACACGTGCAAAGCGTGTTCGCTGTAATTAGATCATTTACATCGCGACACAATATCTTTGATCTCGTTAATCAACAACGTAATCAGGCAAACGATGCTCTCGAGCCCGTGTAGATACACTCGAATTTTAATTGAATCACAGAGTCCGATAGGAACCTCTGCAGAGTTTGCGAGTAATTTTCTGAAAACATAGCTTTCCAAAATTGCGATTACAGACCCCCTTCGATTGGTACGCGGCGGCAAAGCGTAAAAGTCGATCAACTACGGTCCAGTTGTTCCAGGACAAAAGCGAATTACCATGGATACAATTCATTAGTATATTAATAGAGAAAATAGAGAGGAGGGAAATCATGTTCCCTCGTTAACTCGATTGAAAAGATCCCTGCCTCCCTCTCGATCCCCCGGTTCCCCCGGGACCCAGCGACGGTAATTAGTCGCCGGTCGTTTTTAATCGGCACGCGTTCGCCAATTAAACATTAAAATATGCACCGCAATCTCTCTGTTTATTATCTCGTTCGCGTGTCCGTTACTTTTTATATTATACCCGATTGCGAGCGATTGTTTTTCGGCTGCGCACCTATCAGATCGCGTCAGTGCGACAGGAATTTTAAAATTCTGTCGCAATACTCCGAGTGGTTTATTCCCTGATTAGAATACAAATAATTAAACGATACGATACCGCGTTGGGAGAGCATAGACATAGACGATGCAAATCCCGATAAAGCCCACGGTTCGCGACATAATCCCCGAAATGCTTCGCGTTCCGTTTAAAATATCGCCGCAATTAGCGATATCCATCCTGATAAATAATGCCCCGATGAAATTGCCTTTCGATCCGTGGAATTTCATTATGTTGCATAATTTCCCTGCCACTGAGAATCGCGACCGGAGGGTGGAAGCTTGTCTTTCGGCGCGCTCAGTCAACGAAGACAAGCGGAGGGAAGGCGTCGAGAGGGGGAGTAATTGCCGGGACAATTATCGGGAAGCGTGGAGCGATTTCTCGTAGCTGTTTCGCGATTATGAAACCGGAACGAGGCTCTGAACGACGCGGCGCGACGCGATGACAGGAAGTTTCGCGTACGGTCCCGGTCGCCGATTCCCAAAGTCATTATGCATTTCCAGAGATGCCGCTGGGAAATTGTATTCCGGCCTTTTGTTCCAATAGGAAATATCCCGGAAGCTGTAAGTATTCTTACCGCAGACTCTCCTCGCATTGTCCGTCTAACTCTCTCTCTCTCTCTCTCTCTCTCTCTCTCTCTCTCTCTCTCTCTCTCTCTTCCTCTCTTACTCTGCCCATTACCGTTTTTCCCGGAAACACGAAACTGGGTCTCGGCTACTACCACCCGGCATAAACTACATTTTCGTTCCTTATTTACATGATCACGGTAGCTACTTCTCTTCTCGACTTCATTCCGAATTCCGTGGACGTAACGTCGCTGGTGATTAAGAAAAATTCTAGGCCAAATCGAGACAGTTCCCCCGTTTTCGTCGATAGATCGTTGGAAGAGACGTAAGGTAGTAGGTAAAAGCGGTTTTTACGACCGGCTTTTCGACCGAAATTATGCGAATCGAATAATATAATCTTTTCAAAAGAAGAGGGAAAGATCGACGACGAAGGATCTTCCAGGTTCCAGAGGAGAGGACCGAATTACCTTCTTAGGATTTCGTTCGGAGACATCCATTACGGACTTGAGAAGAATTCAGTAAAGTGTCTTTGCCGAATGTCTCGTGGTCAGAATGAGAATTATTGAGAGTTGTTCCGCGTAGAAAATAGATAATGAAAGATTACGATAAGAACAGTTATTGGAATGCGTTTTATCGTAGCAATAAAACTCGGTCCGCCGGTAGAAGATCAATCGGGCTCAAGGCAAACTTCTATCCGCTTTTCCTTTCTTTTTTTTTTCATAACTCGGCGGTGCCAGCTTTCTACTACTTTCGGTAAAACGACGAACTTCCCGGAAATATCGACCGAGATTATATCGCGAACGAGGAAATTCCATTTGCGGTTAATTGCCATCTACTTTTCTTCCCGCTCTCTTTTTTCTCGTCTTCTTAAACTTGTTACCATCGAAACCAAAGAATACTCGGAACTCCGTAGAACTCGAGAAACAGAAATCCAAAGCACGGCCGGACTGGCAAGAAATTAGTAACAGTTCGCAAGTGAAACGAGCCAAACTGGAGCAGAAAATTCGTCAGCAAGTTAAAATCCAATAATTACGTCTACTTGGCAACTCCGTTGCGAATTCTGTTGCGACTTCCGCGCCCCAAAGGAAACAACGAATATCAGTGAACGACCAGAGTTCCACCCACACAGAGGTAACCCTCGCTGACACAGGAATCGCTAATTACGTTAATTACAAAAGCGATCCGTAAATTACGTACGAGAGGTTGTTAATTCTACTTTCTAGGCAATAAAACGGATGAGAAATTGCAATTGAAGGTATTGCGACGTCGTTAATTAATTTAGTATTGCAATTATCGCAAACTGGATCTAACCAACATCTTTTTGCAAACTTAAACATATGTTGTATACATATATGTATATACAGTAACCAGTAGCGAACAATTGGCGCAGGAAGAAGCGCGTACATTTCGCGTCCGATATCGAGGTGGAGGAAGAAAGCTATCTCGGCTCTGCCGAGCCGGTGGACCGGGCTTGTCGCATCTTCGGATATAATCCGACGAAATAACCGGAAACCCGGTTCCCGGTTGCGCGTCGCTCTTAAGCGGGCTGCGATTGTCATGGTTGTTCCCCGAGCTTTGGTACACACGACTCGCTCAATACTCGCGTTACATACGCCCGTGCACGTACACGCGTACGGTTCGGGCCGCGCTAACACGCGAACAATCAGGTGTACACGAAATTTACACGCGTGCGCTTAATGTGCCCGAGCGAGAGGAAACCGGCGGCAGCGTGAAAAGCTGTTTGCCGAGCCCCATTGTCACAGACACGGGAGCACGCGCGCGCGTTAAGTATTACGTGTATGCACATGCACACACAAACGTATATTATGACGCAGGTGCAACGGGCCACCAATCAGAAACGACGCGCGAATAGTCGAGATTAGTGTTTCCTCCAGCTTGGAAAATTGAAAAGAAATGGGAAGAAAACCGTGGAATGAGAATCAAGGTTTTAGGCAGAGGGGTTCAGCACAATTTGAAAATTGAAATTTGACTTATCCAGAAAGAGGCATGCAATAAATGCATGCATTGTTAACTTAGGACTACGATTTATGGAAAAAATACGGAATTTCTAAATGTGCATTTCGCATTTGTTGCAGATGGAACGAAATAAGTGCCCGATGGACGATCGAATTAAGTCATAATTGGATGAAAAGCCCTTTTGCGAGCGGCCACCACTCGTGCCGTCCTCCTCATCTTCTCTACCCTCTGTGGTTCATCGGATTCCGGTAAGTAAATTGTATTAATTAAAGCATATTCGAAACACGGCTGCGCCCTAATGAACTGAATCCGGGTAATTAATCGTAACGACACATTGTTATTCGTGACAGGCACACAGAAGCCATCGTGTAATTCTTACGCGTCTGCGATCGAAATTCGATTCCACTGGGGCGCATTGACTGCGCCCGATTTAATTAACGAAATTAACGAGAGAAAGCATTAACGAACACATTCTTTCGATACCAAATATCTCTGCGACATTTGAATTTGAAACCCGCGAATTGAAGTTGAAAACCGCGTTAAACGCGTGAAGCTCGGAAAAATTCCATTCTCGCTTACCCCGTTCCGAATTGTCTCTATCAAAATTCCGGAAGACAAAAGCACGGTTTAAGGATGTATTGGCTATACAGTCAATCCCAAAAGTTTATACACTTTAGAAACGCATTTTTTAAAAAGAAATCAGACGTCGGAAGAACATTGCTAATAATAAACAACAAAAAAAAATTTTCGATTTTTCCGAGATTTTTCTAAGGGGTACCCCTTCAGATTTCGCGAAATTTTAGTTTTTTGCCAATAACTCCCAAACCGTTGGACATACAAAAAAATTGCATCAGACGTTTTTTGTAGAGGACGGCGAGATCTACAATTTCCATGTAAAAATTTTTTGCTAGCGTCAATAGTTTACGAGTAATTTGCAAAAAACTGTTTTTTCGTTTTTCGTCAATAACTCGTTAAATATTGGTGCTAGGGAAGAATTTTTATATGGAAATTGTAGATCTCGTCGTCCCCTACAAAATGGTCCTATACATGCCCTCCTACGT